AAGGGCAGAACACACTGCACAGGGCGGTGGGTGGAAACGCGCAGGGGGGGCGGCTCTCCAGGGGCAGAAACGGGAACTTCAGCCTCATCACACCTGCTCTACCAGTGCCACTGCCGACCACGTGCGCCGGCGTCAACTTGACGTTTCAGTGCCCTTTCCATTTTCCCCATCAGCCTAGTATTTTCTGGCACCAACTCCATGTGTCTCATTAAAGAAGTACAAAAAACAAACAGAGGTCCAGTTAGTCCCTGTACTGGCGATGTAAACGAAGAGCACTGGAGGCTGGCGCGTGCCTTGGACGGAGCTCCGCCCAAGACACTCCAAACCAGCTCCGTCCTGCAGGACCACAGACAAGACCCCCACACAAGCCCATCCCCTGCTTCCTTAAACTGGACCTCACCTGCCTGCTCCTCCCTCGCCCCAGAAAAGGGAAAGGTTCCCCCCAAAAAAGTGCCTTAGCTCTGCACCTCCCCCTGCCTCAGAGGGGGGGCATGCCCACACTCATGCCCACTCCCGAGAGGAGAGGTCACGTCAACCCCACAGCAGGGCAGGAAAGAAAGAGAGGAGGCAAACTCCATGGTGCGTTTTTTCATGTAGATATCGAAAACATGAAGGCTAAACCACAACTTAAAACAGAAAAAAAATGAAAGCCTGAGATCTTTCTTTTCCTTAAGAATTCATAGATAACCAAAGAGTTGCCATGTTTTCTCGGTATTTAAAAGTATGGTCATCTTTCCTTTTTTTCTATCCCCACAACTATATCATTAAGGTTTTTTTTTATCGTAAAGAACTCTGTAGTATCTAAAAAACTGTACATAGCGAAAAAAACAGATCAGAGTACATTCAATATATCTGTTGCTGAGGTACTAAGAAGGGAGCTCCCTTGTCACAGAGCAGTGTTCACAGTAAAGAGTCAGTCACAGACACTGCCCCCCTCTGGCATGGCAGTGACACTGCACTTAGGATCTGCTGGTCAGTACAAACACATGGCTCTGCTGGTCCTGTGCAGTGGGACCGAGGCCGACATGAGCTCCCCGTGCTCCGACTTGTGGATGAGCTAGGTCTGCACAGCTGGAGGGCTCTCCCTGTCCACCCACCTCCTGCTGTGCAGCTGCGCAGCTGCGCAGGTCAGGGTGCCCACGTCAGCCCGCCAGCAGCCACCTCCCCTCTGTGCAGCAATGCCCCAGGCTGCAAGCAGCCGACTGCGCAGCTCAGAGGCTGGCCTGCGCAGCTCAGAGGCTGGCCTGCGCAGCAGACTCACCTGAGCGGGAGTGCTCACACCCTGGGTGTGTGTGCACATACATACTCGGTAACAAACGCTCACCTGTGCACCTATTAAGCCTCCAGAATCGCGCCCAGGTCTTTGGAAAGAAGCAGCTTGCACACAGATAAGAGCACAGCAAATGCCTCCTCCGCCACTGGCCATGTTCACTTATGGCTTCTTTTGGGTTTAAAAGCACTACAAGGGCGTAAAAGGGAGCAGCCGCAGCATTGCCACACAGAGGTGCACAATCCTGTTTCACAGTAGCAACGATCTCAAAACAACAAAAACAGCTTTTCTAAGTTCTCTGAAATGCGTAATGCAGCGATGGAAAAAGGGAGCATGTGGTGCCCACTTCTGGCCGGACAGAGCATCACATCTTAGTGCTGCCATCCCGCTGTGGGCACAAACCTGCAACACCATGTCACCAAAGAGAACGCCCGGTGTGGTATTTCACCATTCCAACACTTGAAACAAAAGCGTGTTGGATTCTGGACAGCCAGCTCCTGCATGTCCAGCATTAACAACCCTTGTCCTGTGAAGAACCGACTGCACTCGCACCCCAGTGAGCTGCGCTGCCAGTATCTCCATGAATCATGAAGGTACTATCACACCCGTCTCACTGTGGGTGCGTCCATAGCCCCAGCCAGCACCAGTGCAGGATGCTTGGGTCCGAGGAACGGGCCTGGGCCGGGCTGAAGGAGTCATCCGATTGGGGGGCCTGTTTGACAAAGAAGCAGACCGCTGGGCCACTCGCACGCACAGCTCCGCAAGTACAGATGCCTTTTTCTCTCTGCCAACCAAAGTGGGGACCCCTGCCGGTCATCCTCACTGCACCTCGGAGTGCATTTCGAAAGAGGCAGGGACTGACACAGTGAGGGCAGAGAGGGCCCAGCCCCTGCCTTGCTCACTACTGCTCCGGAGCACGAGCGATCGAGCGATCAAGACACGACGTGACAACTCAATTCTGACTCCGTGGGGAAACCAACTCTCCGAGCCTCAACCTTGAGGGAGCCCAACAGGCAACACCCTGCCGTGAGCTCGGGCACAGCTCTCCAGCTACCAGCGGAAACACTGCACCAGCAGAGCCACCGCAGTGCGCTCAGCTAATCCCGAGAGCAGGGGGGCGGGTTTGGCACCCCTGGTCCACACCAAGGCAGCGCCCTTCCCCAGCCAGCCCTTTAAATGCTCAATGGGCCCTCAATCACATCACGGTCTCAAATGCTTAACTGCCCCCCCCAGTGCTGAAGACCTCAGACCTGCAGAAAAGGGGGCAGGGACCCAGACAGGGGCAGCCCCCGGTTGCAGGGAGCGAAGTGGGGTTACCCCTCGCCCTTCAGGAGATCACTAACTACAGGGAGGTGCCAATGATGGTGCAGCGATCAGCGCAGAGCCCACGATGGGCGATGTCTGCCGACCACAAGGCTCCATGGAAAGAGCCTGGTCTAAAGGCATCTCTGCGGAGCGGCCATGTCGAGGCTTGGTCAAAAGCACACCCTGCCACCCTACATCACTCCCCTCTAGAAGGGCCACTGCCACTCCGTCTCGCCCCACACCGAAGAGTCTGTGACAGGGTTTTAAGTCCACCAGCACAGGAACAGGAGGCCTCTCGCAAACGCCAGTTTTTTTTTTTTTTAAAAGTGCAGTAGGATTGCTGTCACACCTGACCAGCCTTCCCTCTCTCCCTCTCTGTACACAAATCAGTGATGTGCTCTGCCAGTATTTCCACACGCTGGATCTCAGGCGCAATCATCCCCGTCCCATTGTCCGTGGGCAGCTGCTGAGCTCCGGCCAGCCAGCACCGGACTGAACGCTGCGACTCCCAACAGGGTCGAAACTACGCCGGCGCTCAGCTCTCCTGCTCAACACCCCGGAGCGAGGAGCAGCGCGCGGCAGAGAGGGAGCAAGACCGGCCAGTCAGGTGCCTAAAGACCACAAGGCCGCATTCCCCTTTCCCCGAACCCCCCAGCTGTACAGAAGAGTTCAAGGGCGATGGGACGAATGACTCAAATCTTCAGAGAGAGACGCACACAGGGGAGGGAATTATTAAAAACAGATTTAAACATCTATAACCTCCCCTTCCTCCCCCAAAGCACAGTGCATCTGGCTTCAGTGAAAACACACACTCGATTAAATATCACCACTTACAAAGGTAAAAATTACTTTATCGTATAAAAATCTGTTTTATTCCTCGGGGAACTGCCGATAGCCTGATGTGCCAGAAACAGCAACGACCAAACTCTCAAGGGAGAAAAGAAAATAAAACAAGCCTGTTCTGAGCTGAGTGGCTCTTGCCCATCGGTTAGGTTCTGGACTTTCATTTAAAACATCGCGATTCCTGGCTCGGAGGAAGCCCTGTCTACAAAGCCTCTCAGCACTTAATACTGCACTGTTAAAAAAAAAAAATTAAGTCACAATTAAGTTGAGGAGGTCGGCTCCAGAACGTGGAAAAAGAAAAAAGCAAAATAGATCTATATATATTTATAATCCTTTTCAGATTCAAAACAGATTTAAAAAAATGAGGAAAATAGAAATAGAAAAAAGTCTTTGAGGAGTCAATTATTGCTTACCGACGGGGAAGGGGGGACAGAGAGGAGACAGAGGAGAAGGAGAGACAGAGAAATCAGGGGAGCGACACAGGCAGGTCACTCCAGGCTGTTCCGAGGGGTCATGTACTGTCCTGTAGGCCTGGGCCTGGCCGGGCCGGACCGGACCGGACCGGACAGGGTGGCCAGCAACTGCCTGTGGGAGGTGAAGTCCGAGCAGGAATGTGTGGATCTGGTGCTATTGGTCAGCGGGGACCTCTCTGTCCGGCTCGGGCTTGGCCGGCTGGCCGGGCGAGGGGGCGTGTGGCGGGTGGGACACCGGCGCGATGCCGTGAGCGATGGGCAGGGAGCCCGGCACCAGCCCCTCCACGGCCGCCGTGCCCGGCAGGCCGCCCGCCGTCACGCTCACCATACTTGCCGGGAACCTGCGCACAGAGGGGCATACGAGTACGGTAAGACCAGACGTCCCAGAAGGCGGCTGGGCGGCGGCGGCGGCGCGGGTCTCCTGTGGAGCTCCTGCCCCTCACCTGTAGGCCGCGGCTCCATTGAGCTCAGGGTGCACGGCGGCTGGGTCGATGCTGGGCCACTGGGCGGCGGCCATCAGGTACTCCTTGTTGACGCAGTTCTTCAGGTTCTCTGGGATACGTCCTGGAGAGACAGAACAGGGACAGCAGAGTAATAGGAGAGAGCAACACCCTTCTTATCCTCCTCCCTGGCCCAGCTGACCAACAGGCCTCTACTCTGGACTCTTCCCTCTCCTGCTCCTCCTCTCTCCCATCTCTCTCCACTCCTCCTCCACCGTTCCTCCCCCCTCTCTCTGTACCTGTGATGGCTCTCCTGACCTCCCTGGCTGCCTCTTCTCTGGCCTCAATGGAAGCCTGCTCACTGTACCAGGCAGTGTGTGGGGTGCAGATCAGATTTGGGGCGTCCTTCAGAGGTCCCTGAGAGAAACTGGAGAGAGAGTGAGTGTGAAGGAGGGTTGCAGTGAGAAATGGGGTAGGAAACAAGCTGTGGTTCCCAACTACAGATTCCCTGTATGACGATGTCACAAGAGCGGATTGGACCGTGGGGTGCAGCAGTCGGACCGGGGGCACTGCCCAGCACAGGGTGCAGGTCGGGCCTCGGCAGCCGCGTCTTTACTGACCTGAAGGGTTCAGTCTCGTGGACATCCAGCGCAGCCCCCCGTATCCTGCCCTCCTTCAGCGCCTGCGCCAGCGCCTTCTCGTCCACCAGCCCCCCCCGCGCAGTGTTCACCAGGAACGCCCCCTGGCGCATCTGCGGCAACACAACAACACAACGTGACGCGTGCCGACAAAGCGACCGCTCACCGCTGTCCCGCGCCCCCACCCCCTCCCCGAAGTAGGGCCACCGGCGCGATCGTCTTTCACTCCCCCCCTGCCCGCCTCGGTGCGGACGGTGCCCGTACCTGTTTGATGGTGAAGTCGTTGATGAGGTGGTGGTTGTGCTCGTTCAGGCTGCAGTGCAGCGAGACGCAGTCGCTGTGCACCAGCAGGTCCTGCAGGGTGGCCATGCGCTGCAGGCCCAGGGAGCGCTCCACGCCGTCCGGCAGGTAGGGGTCGTAGAAGATCACGCTGAACCCGAAGGCCTTCGCCCGCAGCGCCACGGCCTGCCCGACGCGCCCTGCAACGCCAGAACCGCCTTCAGCGGGCGCGGCACGGAGACCTGCCTCTCCCTCAGCCCGGCTTCCGAGGCCGCACTCCTCGCCCGCCCGCCCCTCCACACCCTCGCCCTCACCCAGCCCGATGATGCCCAGCGTCTCTCCGCGGATCCTGGCGGCGCCCCCGGCCACCTCGCGGATCTGCTCCACGCTGGCGGCGCGCGTGCCCTCCCGCAGCGCCTGGTGCAGCCAGCTGACGCGCCGGTACAGGTTGAGGATGTGGCAGAGCGTGGAGTCGGCCGTCTCCTCCACCGAGGACGAGGGCACGTTGCACACCGCGATCCCTGCGGGGGGAGGGGGGTCACGTCAGCGCCGCGGCACAGGGCAGCGCCTGCCCGTGAGGCGGCGGGAGGGGCGGGGGGGGGTAGGGAGTACCTAGCTCGGCGGCGGCCTTGATGTCGATGTTGTCGAACCCGCTGCCGATCCGCACGATGACCCGCAGGCCCTTGAATTTGTCCAGATCGTCCCGGGACAGCGTGATGGTGTGGTACATCAGCGCGCCCACTGCTTCGTTCAACACCTGAGAGAGAGGGGCGGAGTCAGAGAGCGGGCAGAGAAGAGACACGGGAGACAGCGGAGGAGGAGGAGGAGGAGGAGGAGGGCTGGGCACCGCCTCTGGAAAACCACAGCACACCACAAACTATTTTGCAAGTTTATATATGGAGACCCTCTCTCAGTCTGATCTCATGATTAGTAAAGCATACTGAGCTGTACACAAAATAGAGCAATGAAAATGGTTGTTTTGTTGTTTTATTGGAACCAAAGAACTAGAAGTAACCGAACAGGGTAGAAATTCAACAACTTTTTCACAAGCTACTGGAGGTTAATTTTGCTAAGCAAGATAATGTCAAATTCAAAATGTGACAGGCGCTTGGAAGTTGTAACATTTTTTCTTTAAAGTGAGTAAAGTTGACATTCACAACCTTATGAAACATGTTTAGCATGTTCGATTGCCCTTGGCTATTCCATCTAAAACTTCACAAAATCCTCAATACTTGTTTAAAACATTGCTGAGACAAGAAATTCTATATTGACTTAAACAGCTTAAGACAATCTTACATGCAAAAAAGAAATCAAGGCATGTCTAATCGTAGTAATGGAATTAAAAAACATGATCAAGACTAGACTGCCCGACTAGAGATCCAGTAGAATCAGAAAAACGGCACGTGTGCAATGGGTTACTGGGAATGCCTGTATCGAAAGTTCAGTCGTTCTGAACCAATCAGCCAAGATTATTTCCGCGTGACTTCCGAAATCGCATCATATTTCTGAACTTACAAGCCAATGATATGCGGGACATACCTTTAGCATGACTTTCTTTCAAGTTAAAAACTTGACCCTTTTAAAGTGAACGATATTTTTATGGCAGTCGTTTTGGTTTTGAATCAAATTTGATTCCATGAATGTAAACAGCAGAAGCTCTTTTGTAAAAAAAAACGAAAACAAAACCGCTCTAGGAATTCACTGGAAATCACAGAGTGTCCCGGTCCCGTCTAAAACGTACCACGGTACGTACCGTGTGACTAAAGAACCGGGGTTTACCGGTATACCCGTTTTATACCGTGCGCCCTTACTGGAGAGGGTCAGCAACACAGGACAGTAGGAGGGAAGAGAGGAGAAAGAGAGAAGAGATTCGAGAGGGTGAAAGGTACGGGCCGGGAGGGCACCTTCTCGTGGATCTCATGTGTGGACTGGGCATCACAGAAGGCCACGGTGGCCACGTCCTTCAAGATGGGCATCTCCACGGTGCAGTCGCGCCCATCCAGCAGGGCCACCAGGGGGCGCGGGTGCATCGGCCCATTCAGGATGGGGGGGCGGATGCCTAAGGAACAGAGGAGAGAAAACAAGTAACGTTACTAACCACCCACCAGAAGACTCTCCTGCTTAAGCCTTCCAAGCAAGTCCAGGGCACAGTTATAGGACAAATGTGGTGAAACAATTAATTCCAAAGGCAAGCAGGCGATTCCTGCCGCAAGTGATGCTGGTAGACCAATAGGAGCACAGCTTCAAATCCAAAATCCCCATAGGATGACTGAGGACACTGAGCTGTAGGAGGTGCTGTCCTTCACAAGAGACATTAAACCGAGGTCCTGACTGCTCGGTCAGTACAGATCCCAGGGCTGCTGGTAAGAGTGGGGCTGTCACCCCAGTGTCCTGGCTGAACTCCACTCTGGTCTTGTCCAGTTTCTCTCTC